AACTGTCGACTTTCCCTACTTTCTCTGCTGTAGAAACACCCCACCAAAAAAAATTATAATATCAAAGGTGGAGTGGAGAAGAAATTCATTAAATTGAAACAGGAGATAGGAATTGGTCCAACATCTTTACCTGAGCAATTGCTACTCATAAAACAACCTTCAAGACTGAAGGAATCTTAACGAGTAAATCAACATTGAAAACGTGAGTATCCATCTATGGTTATGCCAAAATCCTTAACTCAAAAAGGGCAGAAAGAGAAATATGATGCAAGATCAACACAACTATGCTACATTTTCACATTCTGAGTTGACAAAATTCATAATCACAAAACCTGCAACTAAGAAAACCAACAGTGAAACCCGGAACGAAGAAGAGTTTACATTTACATTACAACACATTGCCAACACAACCTTCAAGATTCAATCCCCATCTACTTCTTTCCTTCTTCTACTTCGGTAGCCGATTTCTCTACAACCACTGCTTCCACTGATTTTCCGGCACATTCCTCGGGAGCCACTGCCATTGGCCGCCTACCACTACATATCCTCCAGAGGTACAGACCCAACATCGCACCTAAGGTACCGCACAATGCACCCAAAATCAATGCACTAACCATCCTCCAAACACAATCACTTTTCTTGGCATTTCCCACCGGCTTCTCCACTAAATCCTCCTTTTCGGTCTTAAGAACTTCATTTGGATCAAGTGGTTGGGAATGCATCCACACTGGAGGATTCTTCAAGTTAAAGCTCCACGAATGCAGAAAATATGGCTGCGAAGAATTCCCATTTATGGAGCTTAAACCCACCATAAATTTCCCATCTTTCCATAATTTCACCAGATCAATCGAGTAAGAGATCGTTGGATCAACCGGCTTGGTCGCACCCAATTTACTCAAACGAACTTCTATTCTCTTTGAACTTGCCCCGTAATCAATCCAACAACTTAACTTCTCTCCATTGTTCCATGGGAAGAAGCTATGAAAAGATGACAAGTTTCCGATTTTAGCTGACTTTGGGCTACCAACTACAATTCCTACACGGCTACCTTTCTTGGAGGTACTAAATTCAACAGCAACAGCTTCGGTCTCAGCCCGTTCAACTTGTAAAAGAAACCCTAGACCTGAGGAGCTGTTGCCCTTAATACCAAACAACCTTAGATCCAGACCACCCGGAAACATGACAAAAGCCATGACACCACCAATCTTGCTGGACATCGAGAACGAGAAATAAGTCGAAAAAGAACAGGAATTTCTCTCTTTACCTCCAAACAGCTGGATGGGTTTTCTGTAAATGACTCGCCCTTCGCTCCCACTCACTGAGTCAGTGAGCTGGATCGAAGAACCGCCGCCATTAACGACCTTTGAATCACCAAACAGGGCAATATCCTCCACAAAGATTCGAGATTGTCCGAACCCATTAAACGTAAACGACGAATTGCCGTCAGCAGCCAATATTCCAGAGATTTCGAGGAAGAAAACGATGAAAGCTAGGGTTTTTAACACTGCCATGGCTAAACTGGGAAAGAACAAGAAAAATTTTGGGCTAGGAAGGAGCTATTCTTCTCGAAGGAATTTCTAGGATTCGTGAATGAATTCCATCTCTCTAGAGAGAAATGCAGGCTTTTTTCTTCTCTCTCTGCGTGGATTTTGGTGGAGAACTCGAGAGGAAAATTAAATACATCTACTCGTTTCTGCTGGCGCTTTGATTCGCTCTCACACTCTCAACTCTCAAGTGGTTCATGACTCAGGGAATGCAATTAATGCTATATTTTACATTTTTGCCCCCTCATTTTTCAAATATCTTATATAATAGACCGTATTTTAATTTGCTTCCACTTTGTCCAATTGTTTTTCTGCAAATTAAATTTTGTGCATGCTTGTAATGATGAGCATTGCATAATGCTCCATTTAAAAAGTTGGTTTCCCATAAAATTTTTATTTGACATTATGATCGGATTTACTATTAGTATTTAATTTAAGTCCCGAGTTACAATTCAAAATACTAAGGGGTCTTGTCTTACCTTTTGGGGATTAGTGGGAGTGAAATCATGTTTTTGTCCCACAAAAGCAAAAGATAATACCAAATGTGGGGCTAAAGAGAACAAAGATGGAATCTCAAAAAAGGGGGTAATATCTCTAAATAGGGATTAATTAGTGGGAGGGCATTGATTATATCACCTGATTATCTCGAATTAATGGGGAAAGAAAAGCATCTTAAATACATTGTTAAAAAAGAATTGCTTGTGCATTGGGTTGAGAGCGCACTTTGCAAATATTTACAGATACAAAACTAACGTGCGCTTGCTTGCTTGTGTTGTGTTTCACCCTCGGTAACCCAACATGGGATTTGATCTTTTATTTCGTTTTCTTTAAAAAAAAGATTTATTTATTCGTTTCCATTTATTTTTTTTCAAATGAAAAAAAAAATACTAATATAGTAAGATGTGTGGTCGGGTCATTAAATAAGGCTGTCTGAAGACAGAAAAAAACAAGTGAATTGTGTCATACAGAACCTTCTGATTTGTCCGGAGTCTCTCTTGTCGTCTCTCTCCAACTCGAAGACCGTGAAAAGAAGACAACACTGTTAACATTTATGGCCATGAATAATATATATATATATATATATATATGATTATTTTCCGAGACATTTACAGTGTTATATTCGGTGCAGGATGGCGATGGCACGTGAACCCGTTCCAAAAGGAATGAATATATCGAGACATTACAGAAAGACTCTTGTTTTAGCCAATAAAAAAAAAAGAGGATTATTAAGTTTAATTAATAAATATTTGTTAAAAAATTAAGGTAAATAAATATAAGATTTGTCTGCATTTTTATTTCGACGACTGAATAAAGTACCCATTGACTCTCCTCATGACACATTTTTTGTTACATTGATTTGACAAAACAATTAAAGTTTAAGGGTGCCAAATAAATTAATAAGCTTTATTTTTTTTGGTAAAAATTATTAAATTTTCGAACTCCTTTTTAATCTGTTTCCCAACATTTAAATTTATGGGCCCAAGTATCCATCTTCATAGAGCTCAATTGTTTTGGGCTCGTCGAAAAAAAAAACTAAATTTATTTTCAATCTGATTTCCAATGCTCACAGATCTCTGCGGACCGGATGTGGGCCAGATGGGCCCACTGAATGTTGACAGGTAATAGCCTGACAATTACAAGTGGTTCTGTAGGCCCATATTAAGATTGATTTCAACGGCCATATGCACACATATATGTAATATGTATATGTATATGCATATGTATACACACAAAGAATTGGTACAAAGGCTTAAAAAGACGACAAAACCGATATTGCACAATTATATATAGTAGCTAATTTTGACTTAGCTACTATCCAATTTCAAATGGATAATTATTGTTGACAATACAAAATAACTTAAAAAAGAAAAACAATAAAAATTTAAGCTCGCCACTGGGACACAATGAACAAATTCAATTAGTTCGAGTAAAAAAAAGACACGGTATTCACTGAATAATATTTTACTAGAAAAAAAAAAGATTTGTAATTTATCTTTTTTCAGTTTTTACGAAAACGCCCCTCCGATTTAACAGTGCGGCAGATCCGGCGGCGGCGGTGGCAACATGGTCGCCGGCGTCGGTCCGTTCTTGACAAGGAACACCATTCCTAACCCGAACGGCAAGTGAACGTCGATGTGGCAGTGCATTATCCATGCCCCTGTAAACCACATCAAATGTCTTAATTAAAAAATTAAACCGAGACGTACCGAACCAAACTAAAGCTAAACCAAAATATATCCATGTCCAGTTTTTTCAAATAGAAAAAAAAAACAACTAATTGAGCCCATTATCCAGAAAATAAATACTTTTAAAGTTATAAAGTATTCCGGTTCTTATCTGGAGTAATTTTTCATAAAAACCAAATAACCATAAACGAGATGAAAACCGGATTACTCCAACCATTATGCTTTAATAAAAAAAATTTGTTTTAAAATTGACTTACCCGGATTATCAGCTGTAAACCGGATGACGGCCCAGCCACCAACCGGAACAGCGAGAGTGTTGCGGAATTGCGGGTTGAAAAAATTGAGATTTTTCCGGTCCCTGGTCGGTTCGTAGTTCCCGAATCCTTGACCCAAGACGTGGAAGTTGAAGCCGTGAAGGTGCATCGGGTGAGACTCCGCCGCAATAAGCGCCGTGTTTTGAAGAACCATCTCCACCGTCGAGTTGAATTTCAGCACCTTCACGCTTGTCTTCTTGGGAGCGAACAGCAGTGGCGGGTTCAGTTGTGTTATGTTCGGATTCGTGTAATCGAACTTCACCGGAGGTTGATCGGGAAAATCCGCAGTGAAAACTCCTCCGACGCCGTAGAACGCCGCCTGCAACACCGACAACGTCTTCGGCAACACGAACGACCGGTTGTTCATCGATGCCGAGAATTTCGGTCCTCGACACGTGGCGTTGTCCGTGCATGCCTCGAGACCGAGCCCTACAGTCACGAGCATCTCCTCGTCCACGTGGCGTGGAACCGGGACCCAGTGAGGAGCACCCACGTGGCTCGTCAGGTTCGAGTAGAACCTGTATGCCGTGGGGGTGTCGAAGAAGGACGGAAGCTTAGGCATGAGGACAGGGCGGTGGCGCGTGGTGGAAGACGCGCCGCCGTAGTGGATGACGCCTCTGGTGGTGGTGTTGGGGAAGGGGGCGACGGGAGCGCTGGCGTACGGATGAGCCGCCATGTAGTAGGACCCGACGGGTTGGTCGGCCAGCAGGATGGCGTCAACGGTCTGACCTGGAGCGATCACGACCAGGTCCGTGTCGTAAGGGGTGGTGTAGACTGCGTCAACGGCGACAACTGTCAGCTTGTGATTGGCTATCTTGAAGAACATTTGTATGTTCATTGCCGCGTTTATGATTCGGAGAAGATACCTCTTCCCTTTCACCACTCCTTGGCTAAACATCCCTACAATAACGATATCCAAATTTCTGGTCAGTTAATATAACGATGACAAACTAACGTTGATTTCCTTGTATATATACATATATATATATATATATACATATACTCCACACACACACACATATATATACACGTGGTTTACTTACGGTTATTGGAGCATGGATATAGGTTTCCGGGTAAGCCGTTGATCGTGAAAGCGTCGGAATTGTTAGGAGGAATACCGGTGGCGAGGGCAGCATTCTCAAGTTCAACCACGTCTGTGTTCCACCATTCTCCTGTATAACCCGTATACTCGTATATTCATGCTTTATAACGGTATTATTGTACATATGTATACGCGAGATTTAACCTAATTAATTAGGTTTCCTAAGTATATTATCATGTAGTATCGAAAATAAGACACACAGTTGAACAATATTAAATATGATAAAAAAAAATGATCCGAATTCTGATTCAAATATAAAATCAGTCAAAACCCAATGTCTTTGAAGATTTGTGTATGTACGTACCAAGTAAGATGGGGATTTCCTTGTCGGGTTTAGGGAAAGGGTAAGAGTGGCCAGACTTAGGCCGGATGATGAGGGCACCATAGATGGTGGCTCGGAGGAAAGAAGCGTGAGCGTGCCACCATAGTGTGCCTTCCTGACCCGTGATGGTAAACCTGTACGTATAGCTTTGACCCGGTCGTATCGGACACTGTGTTATCATGCTCGGCCCATCTGCCCACGCGCTCAACCGCTGAAATATCCCATGCCTACATACCATGTGAATGAAACGGTTTCACTATGTTACGAATGGATTACATAATATGAATAGACTTGCATAACGTTATTAGGAAATGATTGGTATATATGTTTAAATTGATTTAGCACGTTCAAAAAAAATATTACAAGGTTCAATATAGACGTAGTGGACTCGTCGTATTCGCTAGTGGTTGATCAAAATTTAAAATGATTTCATATGTAACGTATAAGAGGAAGGAAAATACGCAGGGTTGGTAAAAGGTCGCGTGCAATAAAGTCAGAAAAATATTTGATTAAGTCGTTAATTAAGATCAGAGAGGGTGAAATAAGCGATCACCATAATTAAATGAAATAATTAATATATAGTTTACCAGTGAATGGTAATGTTGTGAGGAGATTGGTTGACAACGTGGACAACGAGCGTGTCACCTTCCTCGACACGTAGTGTTGGTCCCGGAAGGCTTCCGTTAACGGCCGTTATCGTCTGAGCTTTAATTTTTCCCCCTGCCACAAAAAGGTGACGTCTCTCACGCCGTTAGACGAGAGTTGCTTATAATTGTGTACAAATTTATGCATGTTATTAGAAACCTGAATTCGTGGGCTGGCTCGATGAGTTTGTGCATTGTTATAAGGTGGTTGATATCAATATTGGCATGCATATACATATATATATATATATATATATATATATATGGCGCATCAATATCTATGCAATATGAGATAGGGAAAGCTCCGTGAATTACATACGGATGGATATAAAAAAAATAATCCAATTATATAAACAGGCCATATATATATATTATGAATTACTACGTACACAAAGGGAAGAAGAAAGCTAATAAATATGATTACTTGGAAGGTGTGTTCGACAATAGCTGCCGAAGCCATTGAAGATGCAGCCAGGAGAAGAAGAGTGCATGCTATAGAAACCCTAACACCCTCCATTGCTATTTTGTGCGTCACAGAGAGAGAGAGAGAGAGAGAGATGGAGGCAAAGAGATTCTTGGCTGTGACTATTTATAGAAGATGTGAAGTGGTCACGAAAAGGATAAACAAACAGACTTTATATTATACACATTCTGTGCATATTAAATTTTGGATAATTATGCTTACGTTATATACGGAACCATAGGTAAATATTCAACGACTTTAAAAAAATTCAGCGAACATCAACGTAATTACAATACGCCCCCCCCCCCCGCAACACAGGTATATATATATATACACACATATATATTAATATATAATTCCAATCATTGGTGAATTGGACACGCGAAAGCAATATATGAACTTGAGATTTATTCAACGTTTTTACAAAATGAAAAAAAAAAAAACATTTGGCTGTGCACTTCCCTAGTGTATCCTTTTTGAAATTTTTTGTAAATAGGCGGATGCATGGACTAACCGGTCCAAAGGCAAAACCGTGTTCGTGTCAGCAACATATATATAGTTAGTATCTTCGGTTTTAATCGGTCACTTTGTGTAATATTCTTAGTTTCTTACTTTATACGCTGATTCGAATCTGTAATAGGAAAACCATTGTATATACTGTATAGTATATGGTATATATACTCGTACTCTTAATTAATTCGGTATCCCGGAGATACTTATTGCAACTTTTTCCTTTCGTGTAATGGAACGTCATCCAATAGTGTGTATACACATACACACGCATAGTTCCTTGTATATGATTCTGATTTACCAGTAATGAAATTTCTCAGTGTTCCACGCGATATTAGGGTTTACGTCCATATAGTTTTTATATAAGTTGGATATTTTGCGTAACAAAATATTATCATATATTATTTACTAACATCCTTTATGAATACGGGGCAACAGGAAAAACTCCGCCCAAATTACTTGGATATAATTATTTGATAATTCTGAAATATCTAGGGGGTGCAAACTTTACCGAAAAAATTATTTTAAAAAAAAAAGATTTTTGGAGTTGAATATTCATGTGAATAATTCAATTTAGGAACAGGAAACGATAAACAGAAACAATGTATATACATGCGACGCACTCCCGACACAAGCCATCATACATTGTGTTAATTAATTATAACAGTTATGATGATACTAGCAGCCAATGCTGTATAATTGATTATTTGTTATTAAATCAGTTAATATTTTTATTTCACGGAAACAATGAAACACGAATCAACCTTGGAAAAGTCTTTAATTATTCATTAAAAAAGATGAGAAGATTATATAAAGATCATCAACTTGGTTATATAGGAACGGTCGACGAATAATAAAACAAGACAAATGATACGTTTTTCTATAGTATATAATTTTTTTCCCCTTATAATATTGACTTTATACAACTGTTTCTTGTGACGTGATTTTTTTCATCATATTTAATTTATCATGGTAACCACTAGTGGTAACGGAGACAATACAATTATACATGAAATAGTTGAATAACTTCAAGGTATCTTTGTTTTGGATTTGTTCTTAACGAAATCTCAGTACTATGATACACAAATTTATAGATAAATTCTTTTGTCATGTCATTTCCCCATGAATGAACCAAGTCAACTTTCTCCCTCTCGGCCCGTTTTATTCCTTATTCTATGTGCCGAGCTTCACAAGTGGGTAGAGTATCATTTATAATAACGAGAACATGGTTGAGAATGTCTGTAGATCAGTTATCAAACACATATTCGATTAACATCATATATATGTGTTCATATGTATATGTATATATATATATATGTGTGCGTGTATTTCATATATATGATGCGTATATATATGTGTGTTTTGATATAACAAAATGCTGCACCATTCTTCCTATCAACACATATATCATTTTTTCTACCTTGAAATCACAATTTCAAATCTGAAAAGGGACCATTCCCCGCGAAATACCAAACCAGTAAAGACCTTATAGGGACCTCATCAGTGCAGGAGTCGTTGAGTCCAGATTTAGGACCGGTTGATCAGCAAACAAACCTCGGTGGTCGATAATCTCTCTCTCTCTCTCTCTCTCTCGTTCTTCGTTATAAATTTTCGACGGGTTCAATTTATAAACATCGTTGAGGGCAGAGATTTGTGGAAGCAGTACAATCGTTGTCTCGTACTAATGTTTGTACTAACGCTAACAATGTGTTTGTAATGTTTGGTTGGAATTTGGTACATTATTAAACTCAAATCATATGGAGTTCCAAACTATCTGGAAAATTTTAATTACTAAATTAGCAAGTAGCCGCCAAGTTAGCAATGATTTATAAGCATAAACTCATGTTACAAAATCATTGTAAAGTTATCTCACTTAGAGGCAGAGATATATTTCCCTAAAGTAAAGAAGGGTCCGTCTACATGTGCACTAAATCTAATAAGACCAATATGTGATGATGCGAGTGTTGTCGGAACAGAAACAATATATATATATATATATATATATATATATATATATATATATATATATGTATATTGATGATATGTTGATGAATGGATATATTGGGGTATTTTGTATCAATATGGTGTAGCATACATAAATCACAGTTGACCAACAAAATAATGGTCCAGGAATCCAATAACGTGGTGTCTGAAATAACCTAAGATGCAAGGGAAGTGTTGTCAAGCCCTTTGTGGCGTTGTGTTTCAGATATAATTTCTTAATCTGATATATATATTTTGTAAGATCACAAAACAAATTTGAATTGTGTTTTTTCCAGACGTGATTTGCCACCTAATTACATTCATTACACCACCTCTTATTGTTTACCTCCTAATTTATATCTAATCCACGAAGAACGTTTAATTTAATTATGCAAATGTCTCCATAGCAAGGATTTATCAAATTTTGTCTAAATCAAATCCAACCTAATAATGTTTCAAATCGGATTTAAACATTAATTGAAAATAATTTTTTAAAATTAAATTAAACAAGGCTAATATAAATATAAAAATAATAAAATATAAAATATAAATTAAATCAAAATAAAATTCTACATAAAAACCGAGAAACCAAATCTAAAAATCTAAAAATTATCTACGGGTGCCAATTACATATATTTGAATGCTC